CACATTCTGTGCACGGCCGCGGGCACGTAGGGGACCGGCCTACGGACCATCTGTCCCACCGCCGCTTCAGATGGCCGTCAGGGTGTGCTGCGTAGGAGCGAGCGTCCACACACTTACATACATACACACACACACACACACACACACACACACTTGGACAGGCGTTCTGAGAACATGCGAGAGGTGTGAGTTGATTTTCTGCACTAAATATTTAATTAATTAGCCTTTTTGTGTTTGTGATCTTGTGCGTGTGTGTGAGTAACATTAATTTAAATGTTACTGCGGTCGGGCAACAGTAGCGTGGAGGTTTGAAACGAGGACCGACAACCCTTTGATTTGTCCCATCGGGGACAGTAATCGCTGTGGCACCGCGGCCGTGTGTTGAGATGAGACATCGATGGCTGAAGACGGAGCAGACGTAGAGTGTGTATCAGGAGTGGACGTAGTTAGTGTGACGTAGGCCGTCGGTTTGAATATGTGGACTGGGGAAGGACGCAGAGACGCCGTATACGTCTCTGGCGGAGACCTGTCAATCAGCGTGTAGCCCCGGTTTTGTTCACCTGGCAGATCCCAGAATGCAACACACCACGTCACCCATCGGTTTGTGGACGGATGCGTTCATGTTCGGAGTTTGGCGACTTTGCCGTCGACATTTGCATCTACAGTTTCCATATTTAAAACAGTTAGAAACCTGTCAATCAGCGTGTAGCCCCGTCCCGAAGCATCCCCTGTTTATGGCCTACATGACTCTGAATGGACCATCATTCACTAAATGAACATCGTGCTATGTTGAAGAAGACTTGAACTAGAGATTGAGACCATAAACTTGTGTTTACAATGTTTACTGAGGGATCCCTTTATTTCAGAAACATCCTGAAATCAAAGGATCTTGATCTTGTCCACTGACTCTTTTGTCCTTGTGATGTCCGTCCCGATGTAAAAACTGTGTCTTACGTTGCTCCTTTCAAAAAAGCCTGCTTCGATTTTTGATTTTTATTACAATTAATTGTTAATGCTGTTTGCTTTTGTATGTTTTTCCGATCGACCTGCTTCTCGTCACGTCCCCGTGTCCCTGTGTCTCCTTGTCTCCGTCTCTCCCGCCGGCTCCCCATCGGCCGGGTTTTAGCTTCTGATATGATTGTGTTTGCATTTGCTGTTAATTATAGCTGGACATCATAGCTGGAGAATTCGAGAGTACCGCAGATTTACGGCATGGTGGGATGAAGTAACACACACACACCCGCACGCACGCACACACACACACACACACACACACACACACGGGGCGTCTCTCATCAAAGCTTTGAGTCGGGGTGCATCCCTCCAGTCTGCTTGGACAGAAGATGATGAACTACTGCTGCTGTGGAGTTTTAAAGTGACAGTTAATGGTTTTAAACGAAAGTGAAAGTGACGATGGCGGCCATCTTTTTATAGACACACCTGCAACGCAACCTAACGCAACGCAACCTAACGCAACACAACCTAACGCAACGCAACGTAGCGCTGCTGCTCATTGGGGAACGGGCAATGAAATCAGAACATAAACTGATCAGATGAGCTCCTGTTTAACTCACTGAATGTAATAGTTTCCTCCGTGTGTGTGTGTGTGTGTGTGTGTGCGGTGTGTGTGTGTGTGTGCGTGTGCATGTGTGTGATCACCTGAGAGCTGCACAGGAACCTGAGAGCGCTCTGGTGAGCGAGGTCCTGACAGCGTCGGCTGAATTATTGAGACGCACTCGCACACAAAGCTAACGCATCGCTGGGCTCCTCCCGGTCAATGGCTCCCCCGGGTCGGGTTGAACACCTGGAGGCGGGAGGGGAGGGAGGTGAAGGAGAGAGGAGATGATGAGGAGGAGAGGATGCATGAGAGGACTCAGGAGAAACGAGAGCCCAGGAGATAAGAGGGGAGGGAACAAAAAGAAATATGGACACAAAAGAGGAGGACAGAAGAGTTTAGCAAAGAAAGGAAACTATTGTAGAAGGGAGGAGACGATGACATGAGTGAAAAGAAGGAACAGAAAAACAAAACAAGGAGCGGTGACAAAAGAAGTGGGGGAAACACAGAAGAGGATGAAGAGGAGGAGAAGATGAAGAGTGAGAGGTGCAAATGAGGGAGCGAGGAAGAGGGGAGGAAGAGAAGCGGAAGAGGGGAAGAGGACTAGAAGAAATGGAGAAGAGGAGGGAAAGGAGGAGGAAGAGGAGATGGGGTGAGCTGTGTGTGTGTGTGTGTGTGTGTGTGTGTGTGTGTGTGTGTGTGTGTGTGTGTGTGTGTGTGTGTGTGTGTGATCTCAGCTGCACTAAGAGGAATCTCCCCCTCTCAGCATCTACAAACTCTGAGACGAGGGGCTTCTTTTTTTCTGTTAAATCCTCGGCCAATCAGCGACCCCCTTGCTCCTCCCGGGAAAAATGGAGGCGCTCTTCTTTTTTTGTGTTGAAAGATTTTTGCTTGTCTCACATGCGCGCTCAGGAGAGTGGCGCGAGTTCCCGAGTACATACATGGCTCCCCCCAGACAAGAGCGCCCTATGGAAACCCCAACTCCCTTCGCTCGGGGGGGGGGGGGGGGCTGTCAGGTGACCAGTGTGTGTGTGCGTGTGTGTGTGTGTGTGTGTGTGTCGTTGAGAGACCTCTACCCGAACCGGCCTACTTCCTCAGCGGCGTGTGATTAGTCTCCTTCATGCATTTATGCATCAGACAGTAAGAGCTACACAGTGTTTTGTCATCAGAAAAACCCGAGTGACACAACCCGCTGCAGAACACACACACACACACACACACAGAGGAACACGCACACAGCAGCGTACGGGCTACCCTACGGGGGGGCAGGAAATTATTTGTTACCCTCTGAATGAAGTGGCTTAGTGGGTTTATTGTTGCCGTGGTGACCGACACAAATGATAAAAACTCTATTTACATGTCGGGCAATTAAACAAAGGAGGACTGTTTGTTTTAGGTGCTTCAGGGAGATCTGAGGAGATTGAGTCATATCTTTTATAGCACATTTAATACCTGACTTGTTATCTAAATAAAGGCATTGCGTTAATTAATTACAATCCATGTCACTGCGGAGGCGGATTTATGGCGTTTTGCCGCTTGTTAGCGATGCATACATACACACGTTTAATAAAGCGCCTCAAACACAATCATTTAGTAGTTTGCTGTCATGTTTTAATAATCCGATCAACAGCCGCTGCTTACTGCTCAACTGTAGACGACATGACGTCACCTTCCACCTCTCAGTGTCAGTCGCTCGCAATCCGCCACACTGAGACAAATGGACCCTTATGAAATATACACTTATCAAATATTCACGCGTGAAATATTCACACGGAAATGAAACAGCAAGTGAAAAACATTTACTGCGACAAAAAATTGTTGGTTGAGTTTTATTCTTAGTTTCTGTCAGCGGGAAACTCTCACTTTCACTCGCAGTGACTCACGTGAAGTCGGCTGAACTCTGAAGTCGGGCCTTTTAAACGGGGGGGGGTATTTTGGGAAATGGATGACAGCGTACTGCCACACGTGAAAAAGGTTTTAGGCAAAGTAGTTGAAGCTGAAATCACTTTATGACTACTTACTTATTTTATTATTTATTTGTATAAATATCTAGTTTGAATCGTTTCAACAACTGATACCTAAATCTACGGAAATCAGATCAAAGTACTTTTAACAAAAACACGCTAAAAGCACTAAAGTTCATTATTTTATGTTTTGATTACTACGACTTTATAATCACCAGCTTTGGCCATGTTCTTTTTTTCCTGACTTTTCATTAGAAAACAATTGAAAATAAGATAATGATAATTACCATTATGACACCAACAATAACTGCTAACAGTACTAATAGTGCTCAGGTTGACCCGTCTGACGGCAGCTGTCCCGCTCCCGGTCTCTTATCAGCTCAATTAAGACGCTGCTGTAGGTTTAGGAGCTATTTGCATATCCACACAAAGATGAGAGCGCTTCAAATAATATCAGGGGATGAAAAGAATCCCAATCTCAGCGGGTGAGACGGAACAGAAACTCCAACGGGCTTTGAAACAACAAAAAAACAACAAAGAAAAGACAATAGTGACAAAAGAAAACTGAAAATCAAGATGACAAACTGACGACACGCGTGATGTGGAAGTCTAAGACGGAGTGTCATCTGTTTTTATTGGTTTATTGTTGGAATCCTCAAAGAGGTTTGAAATGTCACAGTCAGACACTCAGGATCCGCCAAGAAAACAACACCGACTTCAGGGCCTTTTATATTAAAGTCCACAGGATCATCATGTCACTGCTGCAGAAATCAGTGGCTGTTTCTGTAATTTATTTTCCTGACATCAATTTTAACTGCTACAGTGGTAAATATTTCCATGCTGACCTTTTGACCTTTAAAACCCTTTCACCAACCAGTGGTGTGATGTGACGGGTCTTTGTTGCCACAAAGTTCCCACCAGGCGGCAACCTCCACTCGGCCACATGAGTTAAAGCTGCATTCTGTGTAGTGACCAGCAGGGGGCGACTCCTCTGCTCCCATAGACGTCTATGAGAAAATGACTCCACTTCTCTCGTGATTTATTCCCTCAGTAAACATTGTAAACATGAGTTTATGTTCTCAATCTCTAGTTTCAAGTCTTCTTCAACACAGCATGATGTTCATTTAGTAAATTTTGGTCCATTTAGAGTCAAACAGACCATAAAGTAGAGGATGCTTTAGGGCGGGGCTTACTGTGATTGACAGGTCTTTAACAGACTATTTTAAATATTGAAACTGTATATGTAAATGTCGACGGCAAAGCCTCCAAACTCAAAACATGAAAGCATCCGTCCACAAACCGATGGGTGACGTGGTGTGTTGCATTCTGGGATCTGCCAGGTTATTAAAAGCACATTACTGTGCGTCCAAAAGGGGGATTTGCATCAAAAAGTATGCAGCTTCATCACCCTTCTTTCTCTTTTCTCCTCCCCCAGGGACTGTGAGCAGCTCCGTAATCTGGACCAGAGGATCTTACACCAGGTAGGATCAGTGTGTGCGTGTGTGTGTGTGTGAGTGTGGGTGGGGGTCATAGCTCAAAGTCAAACAGGTATAACACAGGTAGACGTTAGCATGTGTGAAATGGGGCCATGAGGCGTTGACAGTAAGTAAAAGATGATGTGAGTTTATGCAGCAAACGAATAAAGTACGTATTGCAGGTGGTATTTATGTCAGCTGTTCAAAATGATGGGAAACATGAATTTAAATAGAACTGTGTACCGATGGAAACCACCTCTGGACCGTAATGGAGGAAATGGTGGGGAAAAAGAGGGCGGTCGTGGGAATAATAACCTTCATTATGATTTAAAATGGCCGATCCTTTTGTCATGAGAGAGGGGGAAGCGAGGGGGGGGGGGGGGGGGGGGGGGGCTCTCACAGAGAAACTGACGGTAAGACAAGGAGAGAGTTGAGCTGAATTAATTTAGCCAAAATTACTCTCGCTGTTTCCACCGGTTGCCGGGGCAACCGGCGAGCTTGGTTACTGGATGTGTGACCTCGGCTGGGAGTGTAAATGGAAAACGTAAAAAGCGAGAAAAAGAAAGCTTCACGCTCACGTTCCTGACGCCATGTAGAGTTTATATTTGAGCTCCTCCCCAAACAATGATGGAAATCTTTGTAGTTTGGAGGCTTGAGCTAACAATGAGGAGGATGTCATGAAGAATTCAAATTCAAACATGTCAAAAGTAAAACATTTAGATTTTTTTAGAATAAAGTGTTCCAATTCATTGAACCGCAGAGGTTGTGAATACCGATAGGATGTGTTATAATAGTTCCATATTTACAGCATGTGGAGCCTCCGTCATCCCACACTGGGAACTCGTGGACACAAGTAGCATAAAAGGATCCAATGTTCTGATAATATCTGTGAAATTGAAATTGAGAGTGAGCTAAGGTTGAGCGGGTTGAGCAACCACAGGGAGGTCAAAGGTCACATAGTCTCCACCAACATTTGGGATCACAGGACGAGGGGAGATTAGAGTGGGTGAAGCTGCCGATGACGCGTGTCATGGCCGCCGTGCTAACGAACAAGTCTTCTTCTTCTAAGAAGAAGAGCGCAGGATGGAGAATCTCTTTTTTTACACGTGTGCAGGCGTAAGAGTAGAAGAAGAGACGCCGTGTACGTGAACGGTGTCACTTCCTTTTCCTGTGTAACAGGCGGTATCGTATCCACGACGATAAACTATGTCATTCTGTCCTTACATCTTCCTCAGTCAATGTGTGTGTGACGTAGAAGAAGAGACCACTATCTGCAACGCCAAAGCTTTAAACTTCATATAGTGTCGTCTCTTTGCAAACAAACACACAACAGAAAACCTGCACAGGATGTGCGTCAGTGCTTGCAGACCGTGCACATGCTGTAAAATGCATGAACGGTGTGTGTTGCGTTGGGGGGCGAGGTGGGTGGAGGGGGTACGAGGATGCGGAACATTACAATCGTCAACGGCTGTTTCAATTTGAGGCAAGCTGTTCAGAGAGACGGAAAGCGCGTCGCAATGCCAACAAGTCCACGAAATAAAAAAAAAAGCGTCGTATTGATGTGTTATCACAAAACAAAGTACTAACAACTATTATAGCGCAACAAATACACAATAACACAACGGTCCAGTGTAATTGTATTGAAACAACCAAGAAGAAGTGATGGTAATCTAGGGAGAGAAATAACCACTTCCGAAAACTGACAAATGGCTGAATTACCAATGAATGAAGTGCGAGAGAGAGAGAGATGGGGGACCAAATGGATGCGGGCGCCATGGTAACCACGGAGTTGGTACACGGAGAAGCACAATGAAAGACCAGTAGTGGACAGTCAGCCAATGAGAGCTTCATATGAGTTTCCTCTCACTGATTGGATTAAGAAGACCAGGAAGTGGACTGAAACGCACTCAGTCAAACAAACACACACAAACAAACACACACACACACACTCTCTCTCATTCACGCCACTCCCACACAATAACAATAACATCAAATGGAGAAATAAAAAAAAGGCAGGTGAAGAGGAAGAATTGTGTGTTCTGTTTCCATGGCGACAACGGCTCGGTACAACGGATGCAAGCTGTGCCCTTGACAGCATCGCACAGAGTGTGAGTTTCACACACACACAGACAGACACACGCACACGCACACACACACGCGCACACACACACACACACACACACACACACACACACACACACACACACACACACACACACACAGAAGGGCAGACTGATGATCACGTCTATTGACTAACAGCTGTGGTCCCAAATGAAGGGCCTTTGGATGAGCATCTTCTCCCCCTTTGTGCACGCTGTTCATATGTGTGTGTGTGTGTGTTCATACATGTGTGTTTGTGTGCGCAAGCCACACATGAGATAACAGAGCGCCAGAATTTGAATAGCATTATGGGATATGAATGTTGTCAAGACAACAGCAGTTAGTTTGCTTCCCATTTCTTCCAGGTAGCCACAAGTCCAAAGGTCCCTTTGTTTGTGCATTCAAATGGCATGGAAAGCAGTGAGAGTGTGTGTGTGTGTGTTTGTCTGTGTGTGTTGGTGACTGTGGTTGTGTGTCTGAGGACGGTGCGGAGCAATAAGGAGTTTGGTTTCACTTCCGCATCGTTCCTCTTGCAAATGACAGCTCTGCTGCTTCTGCAGCCTGCACGCTTCCTGTGTGTGTGTGTGTGTGTGTGTGTGTGTGTGTGTGTGTGTGTGTGCGCGTGAGTATATGCTGCAAAAAAGTGTAGCGGTGTGTGTATTTCTGCACTCATAAGTGCGTGGGTGCCTGCGGTTGCCTCCGTTTGCTAGTTAGTGCTAATCCCAAATTACAGCCGAGGCTCATGGGAATTCTGCCGTTATTAACGACACGTTGGTTTGGACACAAGTACTGGAAGCACTTATTGATTAGTACAAATAGTGACCTCTGTAGTATAATAATGGTTATAAGCCCACAGTAATACACATGAGTAACCGGAGTCGTGCTAGCAGTGAGCGGTAGCAGTGCTCTGGCTCACGGGCACCTCGGCAGTGCGGCTCCCTTCACACACACACAGGACTGACTGTCGTTGTTCTCCGTCTCCTCTTCCCTCCCTTTCAGCATCCTTTTGCTCCGCAATCGTCCCTTTCCTCTCCTCCCTCATCCTTCTCCTCCTCTGTGGTCCCATTTATTTCATTTCTCCTGTTTTACTCCCTTACTTGTTTACCTCCTCTTTGGCTTTTCCTCCTTTTGACCTTCAATCTATCCTGGCCATCTTTTTACATTTCCTTTCCTCCCCTTCCTCCGTGATTTCCAGTTTGGGCCTCATCCCTTCAGTTAACTTTTCCTCTCTCCTTTCCTTTCCTCCTTTCCTCTTAACTCTTCTCTTTCTCTCTTTACTCGATGTCTCTCATCCCTCCATCCTTTCCTCTCCCGTCTCTTATGTCCTCCTTCACCTCACCGCTTCCTCCATCACTCCTTTTCCTACATTGTCGACTTTTGTCCTTTCCGCACTTTCACCTCCCTTTGCCTCACCTCCCCTTCTATCCCACCTTTTCGCCCTTCCTTGACCTTTTTACTCACCCTTAAATCCCCCCTATTCGCTTCCTCCTTATTACCTCCTTTTTAATCATCCCTCGGTCAATCTTTGTCATCTTTCCTTCTCTTCCTCCCTATTATCTCTCCTCATTATCTCTCCTTTCTGCCTTCCTTCCTTCCTTCCTTCCTTCCTATGCTTATCTTTCTCCTCCTCCCTTTGTATTGTAGTCTCCCATTGCCTGCTTTCTCCCTACCTCCTTCTCCTCCTCCTCCCTCCCGCCCTCCTCCCCACTCCCTTCCCTTCCCTCATCACGCCCTTTCCTCTCCACCTCTCTCCCCTGCGTGCCCCCCCACCCCTCCCCCCCACGCCTTCATCTATTCATCCCTCCCTCCATCCCTCCATGATCTCCTCTGCCAGGGAGGAACAGGTGGCTCTCTTCTGCTGTGCAAGTCGGTGGCTTCCTGCCCAAAACAAAGAGAGAGAGAGGGAGGGGGGGGGGGAGATCATGGCCCGTGTTAGCGCCCCGGGGCTTGGGCTCTTACCATATGAAGGGCGGAAAGGGGAGGAACGGGAGGAAATGGGAAAAGAGGGTGGGAGGAGGCGTCCGACTGAAGGCTGTGATTTCCTCCACTCGGCGGAGAAAGAGAGCAGCAGGTGCTCCGGGTTGAAGACCGGCACTTAGAGATAAGAGCCACCGAGGTATTTCTGTGCCCGCGGCGGCGTGACGTCACTTCCTGTCTGTGCACAGGAAGTCAACAGTCTGTGTTTTCTCACTCTGGCTCTTCAGCTCCTTTTTTTATCATCTCTGGAAGATTATGCAAATGCTCTTTTCTTTCTCTCTCCTTTTTAACGTATTTACGCTATTTGTTTCAGCTCTTCCGTGTTTATTCCTCTTTTATATGAAATACATTTGGCAGAATTCCTTCAACCTCAATGGGGACAAAAGCCGTCTTCCAAGTCATCCCTCCCAAACAACCTGCTCACGGCTCTTTTTTTATTCCCTTCCTCTAATCTTAATCTCATGCTGTACTTTCTAAGATTTACATATTATATAAAAACAGGGGATTGGGCTCGCTGCTGGATTAGCCGCGGCTACAGCGGCTAGCCGTCTCCGGAGCTAACTCCATATGCATGGCATTAAGACTGATTAGCTCCACGCTAGCTCACTCATACTCAGGGTATTAAGGCTTAAAAGCTAGCGCAGCTGGCTAGCACCTTGCGCCTCCCGTCCGTCATATGATGGAGGGGGGGGGGGGATTACGGCTGAGTGGGGGGGGGGGGCACATGTGTCCGACCTGAAAACCCGCTGAATCGTTCCTCTTGACGGGTCTCTTCTCTGCAGCCACAAGTGTCTGAGTGTGGAGGAAGGTGTTCTACACGTGTAATACCTGCAGGACCATCCTTGATGTTTACCTGTGAAATTCTTCCTCTTTCACAGGAGTGAAGAACGTTTTCATTTCACACATTCTGCCATCTGAGAAGTTTTCTT